CCACGCGTGTGTTCATGCTACGCAAGAACTAACTAACACATCACGTAAAAATCGCACCACTCCGCATACTTTTTCGTCTTTTCTTCTTTCGTTTTTCATCCGTAAAAAATTCTCTTCCCCGTTCTCGACGAATCTCAACAATCCTCGACCAAACGACGACGATACACGAAAAGAGAGATTATTCCACATTGAAAAACTATCATCATTTCCGGGCAGAATTAAGATTAAAATTAAAACGAGATGAAAAGAGAAGTAAATAGATAAAGATTAAAAGAAAAAAGTAAGAAAAGAACGAAAGAAAAAGGAAAATGAAAATGAAAAAAAAAAAAAATATCAGCGAAAGTACGATCGGCAATCAGCTCTGACTCCGATGTTCTCTTTGTTTACGTGTAAAAGCCGTGGAGGCGGTGGCTGCCACGGGAGTCATCCGAAAACAGGGCCAGTTGTCCTACGGTGATGAGAACAGGCCCAAAGAGTCGAGCTAAAAGAACGCTCGCACGCACGACGACGGTCGGGCCTAGAACGACCGACGCTCTTCCACACTTCCTCCTCATCAAGGAGATGAGATTTTACGGCGATAGATCGGCCGACCAATTGTACAGTCTGTCGTCCATCCCCCCTCCCCCCCGATTCTAGAAAAGAAAGGGGATTAGGATGACGTTTGAGAGAATTAGAGACTGTGTTTATAGGGAAACCTCCTTAAATGAGGCCGCGTAGTAAGTACAGGAAGGGTTTGAGACCGGGTTTGACACCCGGATCCCACACCCTGTCTCTTTTGTCCAAAGAGAAGGATTTGATTTTCGATTAATCCATTGGTTACATTTCGTTACATTTCATTCTCACCTCGAATGTTCCTCACTTCTTCATATCTTTTTTTTTTTATTTTATTTTATTTTATTTTATTTTATTTTATTTTTCTCGTATTTCGACATCATCTCTCGTTGAGACAATTTCTTGTTGTTTGAATTGATGATTCCTTACGTTGTCGTTGCAAATTCTAATTTTAACTAGAGACTTTCTTTCTTTTTTTTCTTTTTTTTTTCCCTCCCCCTCTTTCAGTTCTGTTGTTTGTTCGTTTTTATTTTCCACCCTTTTGTTTTTGGTTGTCTCGCAAAAAAACCCTTTCACCAACCCCTCTCACATAGAATTAGGGTTGACATATAGAATAGTCTAACGAGAAGCATTAACGAGATTTATGGGAATCGAGAGGATTATATTATTACACTTTTGGATAGAATTACACACCGTGATTACTTCGAAGAGGAATTCCTGAGCGAATCATGGATGGATCTTCTTTTTTGGTCATTGGCTTGTTTTTATGCTCTCCCTTTGTTCTATTCTTTTTTTTTTTTTTCATTTTTTTTCTTTCTCTTAATTTAATGTTAATTGAAATTTTACCTTAAAAGAGCATTTTTTTTTTTCAGTCGAAGCAAGTCTGTGAAGGAGAACTTGCAAATCGAGGTTTTAACTCGTCCATTGTCGATGCTCGCGCTCGTAGCGCAATGATAATCCGTTTGAACGTCGGAGTCTTTGCAACAATCGTGTCTTTTTTGCCCCTCTCGTTTTTCTTTTTTTTACCCGATTTATCCCTCTTTTTGCATAGCTAGCTTGCATGCATTGTGTGAATTATGATGTTGTTACGATGTATTTAAATATTCATAGATGGATTAACTTGTACTTCTACAAAATACTGTGACAATCAGCTTAATTTCAAAATAACACTGGTTTTTTTGTGTGTAATCGTAATCTAGCTTTTGAGTGACATTGATCGATATCGAACTCGACACCTGTGTTGCTTTATTTTTTCCGTCGAGTTTGATTTCGAAAATTCGAAAGGAATATTGTTCCAATTCATAGCATCTCTTGAAAATTCAATATTCCGAAGAAAAATTCATTTTCTCTCTATCCTTTCGAATTTTTACCCACTTAATTGAACCCTTATTATGTCAATACTTCAGAGAAAAATTCAATTTCGAATTCAATTTTTACAATTTTCGATAACAAAATTCAAAAGATATTCCAAGTGTAAAAGTGGTATTGACAACAAGGGTTGTGATCAGCTTAATTTCTGTAACACTACGAGTAAATCTCTCCCTAATGTGGATTTGACAAAAGTCCAGATTAAGAAGGATTCTTAAAAGTTACAAAAATTCAAGCCCCACGGACGTCCCTCGTCCGAACAATCTCCAAACGAGAATGTCCCAAAATTGACGATGATGAAATAACGAAATAAAATGCAGGACACAGCGGTGGACACGTGAGCGAGGGGAGCCGGAAGTCGAGGCTGGAGAGGATGGATCGTGATCGGGGCGATCGTGGTGAACACGACTACGGCAACGAGGAGGAATCGTACGTCAGTGGCGTCGATTACGGGAGCGCATCTAGGCGTCGCCAGCAGCAAGACCCGCGCGCATTGAACGCCATTTAGGAGCTGGGGCCCCGGGGCCTGTCGCTACAGCGCTGTCCCCACCTGCGCACCACTGCTCTTTAGTGGGGTCGCCACCTGGTACGCTACTGAACGTACGAGAAACGTGCTTTTTACGCTACCGTAGCGAAGAAAACGAGCAAAAAAAAAAAAAAAAAAAAAAAAAAAAAAAAAAAA